GATTTACTTCCATACGTGGAGCCCATAGAGCAAAACACTATCGGTGCGCGTGTCATTTCAAAAAAATCATGTGACCAATCCAGGGGTTGTTTCCAACTGACTGACTCACTAAACTGTGTTGAAAAAACTTATGTCAACATGATGCATCTGCTAAAAAAAAAAAGTCTCCTCTTTTGCGGTTTATCAATAAGATGATCAAGAATTTTGAAGCAGCCTAAAAGGAATAGAAACATTACAGACACATCGTTATAATTTTAATTATCTCCTTGTGTCATCCTGTTCCTCTCAGTTATCACTCAACTTATCTCAATGAAAGTCAATTTCAAATTGAGTCTTAGGTCATTTACTGTTTTTACTGTACTTATTGTTGATTTAAAATCCTAGGCCCCAAGCATCCTCATTCTCACATCCCCACAAAGTTTCACATCTTTGGATTATTTATTGTCTGCATCTAAAAATATCAAATATATTTTTAATTTGAACATAGACATGAAATAAAACAATATAACCTAGAATAACTTGAATTATATCATAGCACCAGGTCATTAAATCAATTCAGTAATCTGAAAAATAAGCTGCCGGTAGTGTCTTTAAAGGTCCAGCAGGTGTCAGTATTCTGCAGTATCAGTACAGTTTGACGTCTCATTAACCATCACTGCTGCTTTCCATTAATGAAGCTTCAGTCTCAGCAACTATTGCTGATGCCTGGCGAGACGCTGGCTCCTCTGTAACACCTGGTCAGGTGAGGTTGCCTCCAATCAGAGGAGCCGTTTACATAAACAAATATTTCAGGACGGGATCAAAATGAGGAACTGGAATAAAACTGGAGTAAACTGATCAGAATAAAGAAGTGTTACATAAAGAGAGCAGCTGGAATATTTTGCTAACAGCTAGCCAGAGCGTTTAGCCAAAAATATGACGAGCGGGATGATGCAGGGTTAGTGATCAACAAACCACTCCTCTCAACTGGAAAACGATTCCCTTCCTATTGAGGTAAATCCAGACAATATTTTTGTCTACTCCAAAAACTCTCATCTAGGGTTGGGCTGCAAGAATCGATCCGGACCGATTCCAGCTTTTCATTTCTCCAGGAATCGTCCAATTGTTTACATTTCAATGCCCAGTCCTCCAACTGGAAGAAGCCGCTGAACACCAACGAAGAATCTGCAGGAGCTTGTGCGTCACCATCCGTTTGTGTGGCAACGTTCTGGCGTGGATTTGCGCTGTTTAAAGTCGGCTACATGCGACGCACGGGATGGGATTTTATCACGCAAAGGACGGAACGCTGCTGACGCGATCAAATAGACAGACTCAGGAGGAGAGGCTCATCTTTGAGCCACTGCACCGGTGTTCTGCTAAGGTAGGTTCCCCATTTTTATCCTTTCTACTTTTAACATTTTGCATTAACAGATCCCCGCCTCATTTTCTTCGCATTCTTGACAGAAAGAAAAGCATTTTAAGCTAGATCAGATCAATTTATGTCTTATTTTAATCCGTTTTATCTGATTACACCTGCTAAATGAGCTGCAGGGAATGAAGCTGTGAATATAAACTGTAGTGAAACATTCAATAGCACAGCGACACAGATACAAGTTCCGCCTATCAGATAAAATAATGGTCATGTACGGCATAATGTAGCATCAGACACTAGATATGAGTAAATACGATTGATTTTTTTTTTAAGTAGAGCTCGATGTTCATAATATTTATATATTACAGTTCAAAGGTTTGATACTTATTTTCTGGTTAAAAATAAGCCTGGGATTATATTTAGTCAAGTTTAAACAAAGTTAGATGTTTAAGGAATTAAATTTCACTGAGAAAAATCATTAACATCCAGACTGAACCTGGGCTAATCCGCTTATTTAAAGGAACAGTGCGCTCATATTCAGAATTTAAACTTCTGAAAGTTCTTTAAATATGAAATTATTTCATACTGTTCAATAAATGATCAGTGTTTTTAATTAAGAGTAATTTTCATTGGAATGTGCTGTGGAATAAT